GGAAGCCAGGTATCCTTGGTGCCGTCTTAGGGAATTGGCCCTCTTGTACCGCGAGTACGTCGACGTTGGCCTCAAGAAGCCAGGGGGACAGCTCCGCAATCTTCGGGCGGAGGCCCTCCGCGTTCCACACCACAAGGGTGAGGAGACTTCTCCGGGCTCTGTTACGGCGATATCGTCGGTTGCGGGCTCTGCGACGGTGTCGGGTACCCGGTCTCACAGCTGGCGCCTCCCCGCCGTCGTCGGTCCCGGCGGGGGGCGCTGACCCGTCGTTAATCATTTAGCAGGCCGAGCCGCGCGAGCGCGGCTCCAGGCCTGCCGATGGGCGTACGCCGCCCCCGGGCGTTGAGTGTCGGTCGCTGAGGTGGCGCAGCAACGCAGCGGTAGCCGGGTGGCCACCGCCAGGGCCCTCGCTGGAGAGGGCAGGTTGAGCCCGTTTGGCTTCCTCCGCAGGTCGCCCCAGCAGAGGCGGGTCCGGGTGGACCCACACCTCCCACCACTTGAAGGCGGGCTCGATCGGGAGGTTCTGAAATGGCTCGGTGGCATTTCGCAGTCGCAGGAGCTCAGAATACCTCGCTGCTACATGCAAAACGGTGTGTGCTGGTCCGATATGCCAGATCTCGAGGTGCATATTTTCGGAGACGCTAGTCAGAGCGCTTATGGCTGCGTGAGTTACCTCAGATATCGTACGCCCAGCGGTGACTTTGATGTGTCCTTTCTATTAGCACGAGCGCGAGTGGCACCGGTGAAGACCGTCACCCTTCCTCGATTGGAGCTGTTAGCATGCTTACTAGCAGCTCGCACGGCAGACTATGTCTGCAAAGCTCTGAAACTGTCTTCAGAAGTACGCGTTCGCTGTTGGACAGACTCTACCATAGCGTTGGCATGGATAAAGAGCGAGCCTACCAAATGGAAACAGTTCGTCAGGAACCGTGTGGTGGAGATCCACACATTGACTGAGCCGTCCGTATGGAGTCATACGGCGGGTGTGGACAACCCAGCTGACGCTGCTTCGAGGGGACTGCTTGCAGACGAGCTGGTTGGCTCTGAGCTATGGGCCCGCGGGCCTGAGTGGCTTCGCTCCCCTCTAGAGTCAGCCGGATGTGGACTCTTCGTGACCAGCGAGGAGCTAGCCGAGACGGAGGAGTCCGTGGCGGCATGCGAGTCTCCAGACGGACCAGATGTTCTGCGGGAAAGTTTGGGCGAGTCGGGATCCGAACAGGATGCTATGATGCTGCGCACTGACTCGATCGTCTCAGAGAGTGTGCTCCCATTGAGTCACTGGAGCTCTTTTGTGACGGCTGTCCGTGTTACAGCATGGGTGAAGCGTTTCATTCACAACGCGAGAAACCCTGACAGTCGAATCACGGCTGCCGACTTGTCTTACGGAGAGATACGTGAGGCCAAAATGACTCTCATCGGCCAGACTCAGCGATCACTGTACCATGCGGAGTACACTTCGCTGGCTCAGGGCCAGGCTGTGGCGAAGTCATCATCCATCTACAAACTGGGCCCCTTTTTGTCTGATGATGGTTTGATTCGCATGAAGGGCCGTCTCCAAATGGCAGAAATGTCAACAGATGAAAAGCACCCCATCATCCTCCCAAAATCTCATCTCTCTATGCTGATAGTCCGCTTTCAGCATACACTGATGTCTCACGCAGGCGTCAACACCATGCTGACTGCTTTGCGAAGCTCATATTGGATTGTTGGCGCCCGCCGCATAGCAAAGACGGTGAAACGAGAGTGTGTTTCATGTCAGAGACAGGACGCACAGCCCTGCTGTGAACCGGCTGGTCCTCTCCCACGTCTCAGAGTGACTGAGTCTAGCCCGTTCTCCGTGACCGGAATAGACTTCACGGGACCTCTGTTCTCAGTCGATCGGCCGCGGCACAAGCTATACGTTTGTCTTTTCACGTGTGCCACAACGCGAGCGGTCCACTTGGAGCTAACAGAGTCCATGTCGCTGTCGTGCCTTTTGCTGGCCTTGCGGAGTTTTGTGGCCAGACGAGGCTGGCCAGTAGTGATCTACTCGGACAACGCAAAGACCTTCAAGGCGTGCTCGACTCATCTACAGTCGAGCATCGGACACGCGGCTCCCGAGTGGAGGTTCTCAGTGCCCTACGCGCCGTGGCATGGTGGCTGGTGGGAGAGACTGATTCGATCAGTCAAAGTCGGACTGAGGAAGTCAGTAGGGCAGCGGCATCTGGCACAACGTGAGCTAGAAACGATCCTACATGAAGTTGAGGCGTGCGTCAATTCCAGACCTCTGACATTTGTCAGTGATGATAGTGGATGCCCTGGTCCACTCACTCCCAATCACTTTCTCATTGGTCGTGCCTCAGTCTTGAGTCTGGAGAGGTCAGAAGGTATCGAGGGTGCGTCAGGGGAGGCATTAGGCCGACTGAACTCAGTTCGTAGCGAGCGATTAGAGCGGTTCTGGCGTGTGTGGCGTGACGAGTATGTACGAAACCTGCCAGCTATCGTTCCCAAGTTTGGAACCAGAGGCAATGTAAAGCTCGGCAGTGTAGTGATTATCAGGCGGGACAATGCTCCGCGTTTGACATGGCCTATGGCAACGGTTGAAAAACTGTATCATGGACCGGATGGTGTGGTTCGGTCCGTGCAGGTCCGCACCAGTGATGGGCGCCGCACATGCTGTGCGGTTCAGCGACTACACAACCTGGAACTGGTGTAGGAGAGCAGAGCGATAGCAGCACCGGCAGCGCTCGGTAGCCCGACTGTTACAACCGAGTGCTAGAGCGGAGGTGGAAAGACAGTGTTTGTTGATTGTGACATGTGCTCTGTAAACTGTATCAGTTTTGCATCTAGGGACTGACATGTGTTGCAGTAGGTAGGTATGTGATTGGTCCACTCAAACCTTCTGCAACGGGGGGAGTATGTTGTGTATTGAAAGTCGTCTGCCCAAAAGTGCACGAACCGCGCGCGACAAATAATGTGAAATTGAAGATCAGCGAGTTTGTGGATTGAAATTGGATTTTGTAATCTGAGCTATTCGTATTGTTTGTATCTTGATTGTTGCTTCGGCAATATAAATGAATTTGTTGAAGTTGTCTTAGTCCTCGATTTATAACAACGACTAACGACTACGACTGGAGCTTGCGACTAACGACTTGCATATATGGCTCTGTGAAAGACTGGTGTGGTGTATTACTCCGAGAGGGAGGCAGAGCCACTGGCGATGTTTCTTCTTCTTCGTTTCGATTGTCTTGTTGAAGTTTCGATGATGCTCATTTTATGATTTCGTTTACAATTCAAACGCTTTGCTCGTCGTTTCTTTTTCCATTTCCGAACACACATCCCCACGGCGCCGGGCCATTCGTCTCCGAAATCTCCGCCGTTGTTCGGTGGCGACGATTCGGAGATCTCCTTTCCCGGCCTGATGGCGCTCGTTCGGTGGTTGTTCGGGATTTTAACCGTTCGGTTTTCGATTGGTGCTGCCATGGAGGCGCGCTCTGCCCAGTTCTGCGGTGCTGTGGTCTGGCTCTCTCAGACAACCGGTATTCCCCCTAACAGCAGTCGGAGTCGAGCGGTGGCAGCAGATTGTAGAACATTCTGTACTTGCCTAATTAGCACTTAGGCAAAATACCTGTGATGCAATTCAGGCCACTTCAGACAGCTGCGTGTTGCCCACATGCTGCCTGCGAGTTGCCATGATTGTTGTTGTAAGTATTTAACTTAAAGACATTTTAACATACATCTTTTATCAACCTAGCCCAGTGCAACAGCTCATCTAATCAACACTGGTTGGTTCGCTGGCTACCTGACGATCTGTCCCTTCTTTTTCAGCCGCTTTTTGTTTTACAGTCGACAAGTCGCAGGTGTCACCCGTCCTGTGCTCCCACTGTTCCACCGCTGGCCTAGGTGTCACATTGCAGCTGTACTCACCAAACCACCATCGCCTCATTCACCTGGCTGTCACACGACTGTCATCTGTCAACCTCCGTCATCTGTCACCCCGCTGTCATCTCCCTGTCACCCGCTGTCACGCGGCCGCCCCCGGGACGGCACCATCGATTCCGCATTATTGACACGTCTTGTCATCGGGCATGAGCGTCGGTTCGCTGAACTGGGCCGGGCACCGCCCCCGAGAGCCGAAATGGGAGCGGTTCTACCGATCAGGAAAGGCGACGCCTTGGCTTTCAATTGAATCGCTTAAGGGAGAGTGATTTAGATCTATTTCTACCGGGGCGTGATATCTGCTTAACGTGATGCAGGTTCATTTTAGATGTAGTTTCCAATGCATTCCTTTTTCTTGTCGCACTGTTATCGCGCAGTCGAAGAAAAATTGGATGTTTTTGTACGGGGCTTACGCCAACAGAGGTGGAAAGTCTAGTAAACACGTCTAGTCGTCCAGCGTTATTGGTGGTCTTGCTGAGTTTTCCTTCCGCAGCTCGGTTTCTGATCCTCTGGTGAGAGGCGAAAAGGCGGGGTATTCGTGTGGTCGACGGTAGTCACATGCATTATTGGAGACCTGGAAATGCCACAGTCATACATACATACTCGTATGTGATATCGCTTGTTCCGGCTTGAGGATCCCCGATGTTGGCCAATCAACGGATCGTGTTTTTCTGCGGCGTTTATTGACATGCATTGCGCTTAGCAATTGCGATACCGCTAAAAGTGCGATGTGCGTTCAGTTTGCGCGCAACCCTTACCGTTCTGAACAGACATCCGGGTGCGCGCCTGTAACCATAGTGATGTAAATGAAGACACACCAGCGACTCGAACAGTCTTCGGTGTCGTTCTAACGAGATTGGCCTGTTGATTGTTGTCTGACCGCTGGCGACTTTTCGGCTGAAGTCTTCCACTGTCTGGCAGTCTTCGGTTCGGTCGTTACATCTGTCTCGGAACGCGAACTGGAGCCATTTACTGATGACAAAAACTGCGGAGGGTCTCGGTCGGCGCTTTTTGACATCCTTTCGGGTCACCAGACGGTCACGATTTATGAGACTCACTGACCAACCTCTCTGATCCTTCAGGTGACCAGAACGAACTGGAGGATACCTACGCCCTCTCGGCAATGAAGACCCTGGAGCAAGCCGTCAAGCAGATCAGCCAGTTCATGGGCATGCAGGCGTGCGAGCGCTCGGATAAGGTTCCTGACGGCAAGTCAAGTCACACCTTGCTGCTATCCGGTGAGTACTGTGACCTCCGCTGCCCTTCGCAGTCCGAGCGTAGCTCTTCTGGCTTCCCTGACCACTGTATTGCTGAGTGTCTGGTATGTGTGTGTGGTCGTGCTTTGGCGACTGTGTTCTGTTGTTGCTGTTGTTTTTGTTGTGGCAGTTGATTTGGGAAGGCTGTGTCTGACTCGTTCCTGGCGGAACGGCTGTGATAGCATAATCGGATTAGAGGGTGTTGGTTCATTGGATAAGTTGGCTGGTGTTTTGTGACTGTAAGTTGGTTGATGTTTTGGGAATATTCTGTGCCACATTTGGCGTTGATAAAGTTAACGGTGATGTGGTTTGTTCCTAATTCAATATACCCTGGTTTGGTTGGAGTAATTGGTATTTCAGATGACAGAGAACAGACATGACCTCATCTTGGTTACACGCTTACTACGTGCTTCCTATCCGTTTTCGCGACATTCGCCATTACCTTTCCCTGGAGACCAACAACGTCGTAGCCAAGTCATCGCTGATCAATTCTAGGGAAGCCAAGCGACGGAATTTGGAAATGGCCGTCGGTTTCTTTCCCATTACTGGCAGGCAAATGGTACAACTTGACAAAGGCGAGAGCCGCGTGGCATGTTGAAGTTTCGAACTTGTTTCCCAGCGTGATGACAAACTGGACAGAGCAAACTGAAAAGCCGCGTTTTCAACTTCCTGATGAATCCTCAAAAAGCATGATTAAACCTCTCCAGATGGCATGCTCATCATGTCAAAGCTGTTAATTAAAACTGTCTTGCCAGCCTACCGGCCTTTTCATTAGGATTACTATGACATCATTGTAACATGACGCAATACCTTGCGAATTACGAATGCGATTAGCGGGTAAGCAGGTATCATAGCATTTCGTTACAAGCATTTCCACTAACAGGAAAATACGTCAAGTTCCAAATATTTTTCGAATGTTTCCACTGCAGAAGTAAAAAGTCTAGCTCAATTGAATATTTCAGGGCGTGTGTGAGTGTTGTTTTCTATTTGACGTGACGGCCCCATATTATGGGCTGAGGCGACGCGGCGTAATGACATTTTCTGGGCAGGAGGCGCGTACTCTGCAGAAAGCAGGCACTGGGCTGCAGTGTCGCGCCAACACTGAGTGCGTCGGCCCAGCTGCGGTACACACCCAGGGGCTGATTGGCGCTGTTAGCTGGTTGCCTCAGCATATGGTGTTCAGTGCGAGAGAATGGACGTGTTTGCGGCCGGGAAGGGCCGGTAATAGGTTCTCTCAGAAGCGCCGGTGTTGTTGAAAACGGTGTGGCGCGGCCTCAGGTTGGTCAGAAGGGTTTCCGATCACCGAGCAATCGCCTATGCGCTCCTCCCGTTCCTCTCCCTTCTCCACTCTCCCTCGCTATACGACGCTGCGTGTTTACCGTCGGCGCGTGACAAGCAGTGCCGTTAGATTCCCATGACCTGTCCCATGTCCCGGTGAACCAGAGGCCGTCGGTCGTCCGTTGGCCGTCTGTTGGTTTTACTGCGGTCAGAGCTCGCCCGGCAGACCAGCCGATCGGGCCAGTAGTGCCCGGGCTCTGATCTGCCTCTAATTAGCCTGATTGCGCTGGTGGCAATAAGCCGCTCCAGTCTCCGGGTGGTCTGATCTCAGTACAACGTGCAGGGCGCTGCCGTCTAGCTACCGAGCCGCACGTACGCCGGTTTCCGTGAAGCCGGACTGATTGCGTTGGGCTTGTCGGGAGGTCTGCTGACGAACTACCGCCGTTATGAGGCCGCCAGGGAACTGAAATGGTGACTGATCTAACTGAGATGACGTTTCTGCGAAGCGGCTGAGTGCTAAAAGTCATTTGCATGCGTTTGTAAGATAAGTGACCAACTTGCTTTCAGACACGTGTAGTGTGTGCCGCCAATGTTTGCGCTGTGGATATCTTGATTCGAGTAAGTACTTAGCTGTTTGGGCTGGGGTACGTGTCTGTAAGTCAGTCAGCTGGTGTCAAAAGAATTTGAGTAGCTAGATCGGAAGGCTTTCTGCTCATTTGCATATACAACTTCGCTAACTCGCTTACGTCCCAGTATGTGTCGAGTAAAGACGCCAGCGGACAAACACATAATTTGCCTTGAGCAAATCGTCCGATAATGCTGAATTATATTACGCCGTCAGGTTCAACATCAAGCCTCCTCGTTCCCTTTGAACTGGGAAGCAATGAAGAGTTCCCGGGTCACGGAGCCTAATAACTGACTCCAGCCGGGGATGGGGTGGCGCCCGGCAGCTCAGTCGGGCTGGACGGCTCCGTGCCTGCCGGGCCGGGGCGCGTTCAACCCCATGCAATCAGGCTGGCCGGCGGAGCGGGGTCGTTGTGTCGGCGCGATGGTGGTGCGCAGTGCGTGCTGCTCGGCTGCGTCTGTCATGGAGCGATGACCGTGGTCAGAGACGGGGGCAGGCTGGCCTCCGACCCGGAGCGCGGTCACCGCGGCGGCCTGCTGCTGATGTGTGATAGATCTCAGACTGCGCCGCTGTTGGTAGCGGCGTGGGGACGGTGACGGTGACAGCCGTGGTTACAGCGGTGGTGAGAGGGAACTATCCGCATGTCGGTGCCAGGTGTCAAAGTTTCTTTCAATGACAAAGGATATACACAAAGGTTCCGTGGCATGCATGCATACTCAATAGCCCAGAGTTCAGTTGGTCCCATAGCCCCGAATGGGTACCTTTGGGTTACATAACTCCCATCAGATGCCGGTCAGCCAGAGCTCATCTACGCCAAAATAATCATCGTATTTAAAATCTTCGTAGTCCAATATATTTGCTTTGCAATATTAGTTCCCATGCTCCCATGGGACTCATAGCTAACTAGTTTCCTTGACATGTACGGCTCGATCGCTGGTGTCCCTCTTGCACCAGACCCTAGTTGCAAGCAGCGGCGGCGAAACACCTTCAATTAGGGGGGGGGGGGCACTGCCGACTTTTGGTCCATTCTTTCCATGCAACGCCCGTCGCCCATAGAACTAATGTTAAAATGCTAAAATCAAAGGGGGCTACGGTGCCCCGGTGCCCGCGTCGTTCTGCCGCCTATAGTTGCAAGGAGGTTTGACGAGCGGGAATATTCATGTCGCCGTGGGCGGCAGGAGTTCAGCAGACGTGCGTGTCCAGATGACGGAGATGTCACATCTCCAGCTCCCGGCCTAAGGTGCCGACTGCCCAGCGTCGTGTCGGCGCGGTGGGACGGGCAGAGGGTCGCTCGGTGGGTCGGGCGGTGGGAGGGTGCTGTCGACCGCCGTCGGCGACGACTCGCTCCCGGCGCCGCTCGCTCACTGTCGCTGGGAGGCCGCTGGACCGTCGGCGGTGCGCCCAATGCCGGCCCATCTGCCACTGTCGGCAGCGATGGACGAGCGACGCCGGCGATGGGGCGACGAGACGAGGCTCCTCGGAACCCATCACCGTCGGCAGAGACCCCGCCGCGTGAAAACGGATCAGTCTGAGATAATCCCATCAGGCAATGTCGAGACTGAACACACTGGTGACCTTGGTTCAACGATCAGCCGGCCGGTTTTCCAACTCACTTCTGCTGGCCGATAGGTGCCACTGGTAGCAGCGCGGCAGTAGTCCACGGCCGTCGGCCCCTGAGGCCGGGGTCCTGCCGTCTACGAGGTCGGGTCATCCGCCCCACGCTCCCCCGGGGCACGGCCTGGCGCGGTCTTGACGTCATTGGTACACGTGATTGGCATGGAAGATTAGCACGGTGCGTGCGCTGGCTCCACTTGCTTCTCCTGTCCTGTGCTCTCCGCTCTCCGCTCTCTGCTCTCTCACTCTCTCACCTTCACACACTCTCTCTCCCTCCTCTCCCTCTCCCTCTCCCTCTCCCCCTCCCCGTCTCTCTCTCTCTCTCTCTCTCTCTCTCTCTCTCTCTCTCTCTCTCTCTCTCTCTCTCTCTCTCTCTCTCTCTCTCTCTCTCTCTCTCTCTCTCTCTCTCTCTCTCTCTCTCTCTCTCTCTCTCTCTCTCTCTCTCTCTCTCTCTCTCACCTTCTCCCTCTCCCTCTCTCTCTCTCTCTTCTCTCCCCCGCGGCTGGTCTCATCTGTGCCCACCGGACACCGTTGGCTTCCGGTCAATAGAGCACCGTTAGGGACATACATATATAAATATGGAAAAAGGCGCCGGCCGCGCTGGTGTCCGGATGGCCTCTCGCCCAGTGGCAACCAGCCGTCCGGGTTCACGTGCAATGTGCATACGTGTATGCGTGTTCACCTTTGCCTGCATTCTAAACGTCTACAGACATAAGAGTGTAAAAGGAATGGATGAAAACAGCGAAATAGCTAATGATTTATGATGGCTGAATTTATGCTTTATCGAGCATGGATAAGAAAGAAAACAAAATCAACCAAATACACGTTTGATCCGTCGCCGTTAGAATCTCGTCGCTTGGCCTTGAAGTATGTGGCTGATGTATAGATCGCCTGTCTGAAAGTGGTTCATCTAGTAAAAGCAGCGGTTTTCTTTGTCTGCGACAGCTCAGTCTGCAAGGTTGAATGCGTGGAAGTAATCTGCTGGACACATTTCAACTACATTTGTTCTCAGAAGCGGTTTGCTGGCAGGTATGAGATTGCAGTTACATCTGTATTTGTTCACTGCTGTCACACTCAGCAGTGTGCCCATTTCAAAACGCCTGTGTAACTGGCGTGTGCCCGCGGGACTCCCTCTGTAGTGGCCCGCCGCTGGCTTTTCGTCGAGTACGGGCTGTTACTGCCCGCCCGCCGGGCAGCGACGGCTGTGTGGCTGCGTTTTGTGGTACTGAGCCGGCACAGCTTTTGGCCCAACCAGCAGGCACAGCGTGGGCTAACAGGAGGCGCCTGGTGAAACCTCCTGCTCCGGCCTCGGTTTGTAGCCGGCCTCGGATTATCGGTAGTTAAGGAGACCCTCTGACGTTCGTGATCCTCCGGGAAATGGGCCGATCTGATTATTCTGGCCATTGCTAAGGTGTGCGCTGCGGCTGTACCTGTTGATTATATGAGTTATTGTATGTTGCGCACT